GACTCAAAACCTGTTCCTGAGATGATTCTGAAATTCAGGTGGTATGAAATCAAAGTCATATTTTGGCTCCTGTGGATTTGGTTTAATTTTCCTCAACTTCAGCTTGAACTTGCATATGAGTAATTGGTGGTTGGAAAATTCTGTGGCCAGGGATTTCAGAGTACTGAAGAGCAACATTGCCAGTCTAGAGACTAAGATGTGCCTGATCCAGGCCATGGTCTTTGCAATTACTTGCTGTGTATCTGACTGCTGGACAATGACTAAGATGACAGAAGAAGAATCAATGCCTTTGAGTTGAGGCGCTGGAGACTATTGAACATACCATGGACTGCTAAGAGAACAAACAGGTCTGTCCTGAGAGAGAATGAAACCGGGCTTCTCCTTGGAGGCAAAGATTTTGACTCTCTGTCTCATATATTTTGGGACCAGACCTTGGAGAAGGACAATATGCTTGAAAGGGTGGCGGGACAATGCAGGATAGAAAGATCCTGGATGAGATTAATTGACTCAGTATCTAGGGTAATGGGGGTAGGTATGTGAGAGACAATGAAATTGACTCAAGATAGGGTAGGGTTCAGAGCTGTTGTACAGAGTCGCTATGAGTTGCAGGTAACTCAATAGTACATAACAAAACACTGAGTATTTGACTGTGTGGATCACACATAATAATTTATGGCTAGCATTGAGAAGAATCTGAATCCTAGAACACTTAATTGTGCTCATGTAAAACATAGGCTAAGTGGCAGTTGTCCTAAGAGAGCAAAGGTTTAAAATCAAGAAAGGTGTGTATCAGGGTTTTGTCTTTTCTCCATACTAATTCAGGCTATATGCTGAGCAAATAATTTGAGAAGCTGGACTTTATTAAGAAACAAGAATCAAGAGCCTAGCATCAGGCTCTCAGGAAGATTAATCAACTACCTGCATTATTCAGATGACATAACCTTGCTTGCTAAAAATGAGTATACTTTGAAGTGCTTGCTGCAGAATAACAAACTACAGCCTTCAATATGGATTACATCTCAGCATCAAGAAAACAAAAATCCTCTCCAATTGGCCAATAGGTAACATCATGATAAACAGATAAAAGACCAAAATTTTCAACAATTTCAAAATATTGATACAGGAAACATCAGGATGTTCTGGGGCCCTACTGGTAAAAAAAAAACTGTGTTGCAATCCAAAAGACACATAGTTCAAATCCACCAGCTGCTGTGCAGAGAAGTCTGGGAAATCTCCTCCCATGCCATTTATTGCCTCTGAAACACCCTTCAAGAATCAGCTATGAGTTTGTTTCAACTCTATAGCACACAACAACAACAGGAAATATAAAAAGAAAATGGAAAGAATATACAGAGTCACAGTATCAAAAAGAATTGGTCAACACTAAACTATTTCCTGTACCATCCTCACCATCTCTGATATACTTGAGCCCATTGCTACAATTATATAAATCCATTCTGTTGAGAATTTTCCTCTTACATTGATATTCCACCTTTCCAAGCATGATGCCTTTTTCCAAGGACTGATTCCTACTAACAACACACCCAAAATATGTAAGATGAAATTTCACTATCCTTGCCTCCAAGGACAATCCTGGCTGCTCATTCTCCAAAATTTATTTGTTTACTCCTTTTTTTACATTGAAGTGTTCAAGGTTTATTGTCCAAAATGGCTTCCCTATCCATTAAATTATTTTGCCATGTTAATGGATGGGAATATGTGAATATAGTTGTTTGTTTATTCTTTTGGCAGTCCATGAGATATTCAGTACTGTTCTCTAACACTACAACTCAAGGTCATTGATTCTTCTTTTATCATCTTTAGTCATTGTCCAATTTTGAGATGGATAACAAGTAACTGGAAAGACAAAAGCTTGGAACATGAGCATCTTACTAGTCTTTAAACTGGTGTGATTTCTCTTCAGCACTTTAGAGAAGTCTTTGAACTAGATTTTCAATACATATTTGATTCTTTAACATTTGGCACCAAGGATGTTGATTGTGTATCCAAATAAGAGAAAATAGTTTACAACTTCAATCTTCTATCTATCATGATGTTGTCTATTGGCCAAATGGTAAGGATTTTTTTCTTTTAAGTTTTGCTCTTCCCTTATTTTCCTGTATTCCTTTTTTAAAAAAAAATTTTTCCCATTGTTGCACATTTCTCCCCTCCTGATTTTTGTTTTCTTTATGTTGAGTTACAATCCATATTCTGCAGCAGTGCTTCAAGTGATATTCTCAGTGAGCAAAATTGTGCCATTTGCACAATACAGGTTGTTGATGAGTCTTCCTCTGATCCTGGTGCCACATTCTTCTTCATAAAGTCCACTTTTCTGAATGATTTCTTCAACATACATATCAAATAGATGTGGGAAAAGGATACAACCCAAATATACATGTTTCTTAATTTTAAACAAATATTCAATATTGCAACTTGAGGCTTGAATTTGCTCTTTAATTCTTCCAGCTTGAGAAATACCAAGTGTGATCTTCCCTTTTGTTTTTCTAACTCCTGCTTATTTAATTATAAAACTTTGCATTGTCTTCTCAAGATTCCCTTAGAAAGTGGCCTGGTGTAGGGCCCTGCCCACCTCTGCTGACATAACCATTGTCACTTTTTCTTATTACCTGGCTCACTACTGCTCTCATTATAGATTTCACTTGGGCTTCAACTTCTGTTATCCCAAGGATTTAAAAAGACTACCAGTGTGCTCACTTACTCAACTTGTCTGCAGATAAAGCATGCCTGAATGAGAGGCAATGTGCTCTCAAAACACCTCACTTTCACCAGGTACCCAGCTTTCAGCCCTTTACAAACTCCAACTGTAATTACTGATGACTTGTATCTATGATCAGAGGAGCCTTGTGAACCCACAATATGTCTACCACCAAATGTTCAAAAGTTTCACTTGGACTTCTCCTGTGGCTCCCAGAATCAGAAACTAACGATACTAATTACACTAGAGTTGCTCCCTATTACAATAGTCTAAGTCCTATACACCCTGTACCCTCTCACTTGTCCTCCAGTAAGGAAGTCCTGCTTTCCTCTTGAACCAGTGGTCTGAAACCTTAGTGTGCTAGCATACAGAATGACTGTGGCATGCTTATCTTGGCCCTTGAAAGAGACTTTTGTTAGAAATCCTGAGAAATCAGGGCAGACTTCACTTGGAGACAAGGGCATTGTTGAACAGTGCCTTGGTTCCTTGAACAGTGGCCAGAGGCCTCTATTTCTGGTAACCATGTCTCAGGACCTGGCCCATGAAGCTCATTTAGATGGACCAAGCTCACTTGGATAAATTAGATTATATCTGGGACATTTCTTCTTTCTTGTCCCATAGGTGCTGATTTTTCTTACTCTCTAACTACCTTCTACCATGTGATAAAGGTTTTCACTGTCACTTGCCCTCTTTGATGAAAATGACTGACTTCTTTCTAATCACACATCTCCACCCTTTCTCCTCACAATCTTTGTTACAATCACAATTGAGTGCAAATTTTCAAGTCTGACAACTGGTTATAGAATTTTCAACCTCAAATCTGGGGTATGGGGACTCTGAACCAGAGAATCTTGGAGTCAATTTATTTATAGTTCACAAATGTCCCAGTTTTATCTATTAACCATTATACTACCTAACCCAAGGATACAGGTTAACCTATATTATTATATATCCATTTTTATGCTAACTCAATTGTGTTAATTTGCTTCTGATTCTAAGATGAGTAGAAGGCTCAAGCAGGAGACAAATGTGGCCCCAGGCTGGGCTCTCAGTGAAGGTTTCTAGCCATGTGGTTTCTCTAGAAATGCTGGGTGTTCTAGGGGATGCACACAGGTCCTGCAGAAAGATCTAGGCTAGCCTGCTCAGTGGAGAGTGGCCCCAGCCTTTGTAAGGAGAAATGAGAGGCCTCATCAGTGGAACTGGGAATTACTATCCTCCAGCTTGTCCAAAAAGGCTGGGGTTTACCTTCCATTTCTCAAATTCAATGAACAGGAATCTTCATACCTGTTGCTCTGGAAATTTTCAAAGCCAAATATGTCAAGAAGACCAATGGTCCTCCGTACATGTTTAGGGTCCTGGGAAGGTGGTATGAAGATAGCAGCATTGATCTTCTTAACAACCCACAGGAAGAGATGTCCGTAGATGCCCTGGGAAATAGGGAAAAGAGCATGTGACCTTTCAGGCACAGGAATTAGAGGGTTGACCATGTCTCTAAGCTCACTTGAAAAAGTTATACAGAGCCACTCTCATGGGATTCACTGTCAAGGACATGAGAATGCAAGAACTAGGTAAGTCACAGACTCCAGACTGCACAGAATCAAGACTTTTCCAAGCATTTCTGCTCTTTTGCCTGTGTTTTTCTCTATGACTTGACAGAAAGGACAGGGGCTCAGGTCATATTCAATAGAAAGACATGCAGATGCAGGAAGCCAGAGAAATAGAAGAGACTGTACCTTGACAAAGGCATCCCTCCGATCCGCAGCTTGGTTGATGTTCAGGGGCCTAGTGACAAACTCTCCACGGATGATGATGGAGTGTTTGGTTAGGCAGTCCTGGAGTGCTTGGTGCTGCACCTGGGAATACAGGCAGTGAGCTGACACCAGACTGAAAGGGTCAGGGCCTGGGCCAGAACTATTATCTGTTTCTGTCCTATTTCTTCTTTTGCATATTGTCCCTAATACCTGGAACCATAAGTTAGATTGTGGCTGAGGACTCAAATGGGCTCAATGTCAGGGTTCTGTTGAGGTTTGACTTTAGAAGAGGACCCTAAGTAGGCTGGGCTGGTCTAATGGCACCAGTACAGAGTCTGACATCACCATATGGGTCTAGGGAAATGCATCCTTGGGAGAGCTGGCTTTGAAGAGGATGCTTTGGCCATTGAGGGGCATGGAGGGCTTTGGTCCATAGGTACTGACATCTGAGTATGTTTCAGTAAGAGTTACTATCCCTGGAGATGGACAGCCTACAGGAATGAGGGAAGTCTGGGTGAGCTTTCTTTCTCACCTAAGGAAGCTACTGTTCACTGAGATGGGGTCAGGGTAAGGGCGGTATAAACTGCTCAAATTGAGTCAAATTCAAAGCTTTTAAGAATCCTTGAACCAAATGAAGAAAGTTAATAGCAAAACATATCTACTGAAATTACTTTTTCCCCTTCTCTTCTCATATTAATTTCCTACCAGCATTGTGATGTATGGCATGATATGGGGATGCTATAGTGTTTCTTGCAGTGTCTACCAAACATCCTATCCTGGGTCCAAGTGGTCTCTGTCATAACATAGAGACAGTAGCCCTGGTCACAGGCATACTCCCCTTCCCCTGAGGAGCACTGGTTTGGGAGCATAGTGCAGAGACACTTTGATAGAAGATGCAAGGTTCAAAGAAAGGGGTCTTGGGTTACGTAATAGAATAGAGAAAACTTTGAGATTGGTCAAATGGAGAATTAGGAGGTAGAATGTTGGACTAAAAAGTAGGAATGCCAAGATAGGGAAAGAAAGTTAATCAAGGTCAAATATCATTTCATGACTTTGTATGTTTAAGGGTTTACACTGCCCTTATCCTGACCCCATCTCAAGCACCTACAATGTGCAGAAGGCAAGGGTGGAGCTTGCAAACACAGAAAAAGCATGCAAGGCATGAGTTGTGGCCCAGGAAAATAGTAGAAGGATCTGTTGGTCCTGTCTCTCAAGGTCCATACAGAAATAGAAATTGGCAGACACAAAAGCTTTAGCTACCTCCAGCAACTTCATCACAATGGAGAAGGCAGACGTCTCCATCACATCTGAGGAATCCAGGTTCTCAAAGATGGAAGCTACAGAGAGAAACAATAACCTTGAGTGCCAAACCAGCCTGAAGTGATGGGTCCATTTTAACCTAGATCCACAACATTAGAAACAAATGTTGCTGGGTGTTAGATATTCTTTTAGTAACCAATGTCCCTAGTGACTATCAGTCATTAGCAGCTTGTTGTTGTTGTTGTGAGGTGCTATCGAGTCTAGTATGAATAGCTGATCTTATACCTGCCTTATCCTGTGCCATCTTCCTCTCTAACACACTAGAGCCCATTGCTGTGGTCACTGGGTCAGTCTGTCTCATTGGATTTCTTCCTTTTCTTCACTGACCCTCCATTTTTCCAAAGATGATGTCCCTTTCCAAGGAAGAGTCTTAGCTATTTTCAGGGAGTAGCACTAGCAATTTAGCTGTGGCTTAATGCCACAGATGACTTATCTCTATGCTGGATAAAAACAGGGACCAGATAGTTTGCTGAAGAGAAGACTGAACTGTGATTCCTGTCAGATGTTATGAGGTGGTATGGGGGATACAGGAGAAGATGAGTCATTTCTCTCCTTTAAGTCACTCAGTATTTCATGCTAGAAACCTGGGAATTCATTCTTCATTGAATAAAATGAAATTAACATTAATTGAGCATCTACTGTAGGCCAGGCCCATCTGTAGACACTGGGAATGATGTGGTGGATAGAGGACTCTTTTGAGTCCTCCCTCTTTGTCAGTTACTCTACAAGTGCTTTGTCTTCATGCTCCCTCTCAAGTCAGTCCTTTTGAACAATCCCAATTAGACCTCCTTGATCAACAGATCCTGAAGTCTGGAAATACTCTCCTGCCTAGTCTCTCTTTTTCACGTTTCTCCCCTTTTATACAATTCTACTTTAGCAATGCAAGACTGTGTGTAAGTTTTCTTTTAAAAATGTTTAAAATTAAATAAAGCATATATAAAAAAGGTTACAAAACACAAAGTTGTAGTATGACAAATAGTGATGAATAAACACTATAGTGTAACCATTATTAAAACAAAATATAAACATGTCAGAAATCTCTCAGGTACTTTAAGACCCTGTTCCTCTCCATTAGAAGTAACTACTTTCTGAGACTTAATATAAATATCTTTCTCATTTTTTTCTTATCTTTTTATTGTCAACATATGAATCCTTAAACGCAATTAAATTTGCCTATCCAATTGGCAGCATCAGGATGGATGGTGAAGAGATTGAGATTGTACATAGCTTTAGTTTGCTTGGATCCACAGTCAACATCTCTTGGCACCAGTAGCCAGGAAATTAAAAGGTGCATTGCCATGGGAAAGTCTGCTGTTAGGGACCTCTCCAGAGTACTGAAGAGCAATGGTGTCTCCCTGGAGACTAAGGTGCGTTTGATACAGGCCATGGTCTTTGCAATCATTTGTTATGCATAAGAGAGTTGGACAATAACCAAGGAGG